CTGAACACACGTGCGCCAGCCCTGAACACACGTGCGCCAGCCCTCCAACACCACACTTCTAGGTCAGTTGGGATGGTCAATCACACTTAACATTTAAATGTTTAGGTCCAGGTGAAGGGGGAAACTTCACTTGCTGAAGTTCCTGGCTGATGGGTGTTCAGGGCTGGCGCAGGGGAAGTTTTTGGTGTGACTGACACCAAAGCGGCTTCCCACTACGGTAGTAACAGTACGTCCCTCTGTGATGGTATACAAGCACCGAGGACTTGATAACAGTTGACTCGAAGGTCAACAATGACGAACAACGTTGACAGTATTACCAGGCAGGCAGCTGGGTGATGGGGTCAAGCAGGGAGAGAGCTGACTCTTCCCCAACACACAGTATGAAGGAAAGACCACAAATACAGTGGAGCCTAACGGGGAGACGAGACATTAATTATTCAGAGACATTGGCGGAGTGGACAGAGGTAGACTTATTAGCATATGTGAGAACAACGAGAAACCACAGAATATGAAAGGAGAGAGAGAGAGAGAGAGAGAGAGAGAGAGAGAGAGAGAGAGAGAGAGAGAGAGAGAAAATAATTAAGATGCTGCCGACCTTCCTCTACCATACACTGTGGGGGTCGCCACTGTTCAGGTGAACGAGATACACAACCCATCCCACCCGGGGAACTCAAACGAGAGACCATAACAAAATCTATTACAATACAAGCCTCGAAATATATTGCTCCCAGACGTTCCTCTGACCTAACCTGTCGTTTAAAACCCCGTCGTCACTCAGGCTGGGAGGAGTGGGAAATGGGGAGAGGGTAGGAAGTATGGGTAGGGAGGGGGAGGGTAACACGTGTACCAATAAAAATAAATAAAAGGCTGAAGAAGCACGGTAGGAATTAAGAGCTGGTCCCTCGCCCGACACAGCTAACCAGGTGTGGAAAGTCGAGAATTTTGAGTGCGAGGCGGAACCAACGCGACGGCTCTTGTTGGGTCTCTCTCAATGTGGCGGCGATATAGCATCACCGCCCTAAGGGCAGGAGTGATCATACGTCTTTCATCCCCTCAGGACCTTGGAGAGGGCTATGGGGAGTATTTGGGGGAGGTAGATGGGGAGATGAAGGTAGATGTAGATGTGGAGGTGGAGATGAAGGTAGATGTAGACGTGGAGGTGGAGATGAATGTACTGTGGGAAGTACATAGATAAAGGGATCTTTGAGAAAAAAGTGGAAGGATAGCGGGAAGGGAAAGAGAAATAGTTGGAGTGAATAGTCGACAATAGTGAAGCAGAGGAGAAGGGACAGGTAGAGGAGGAGGAGGTGGAGAAGGGACAGGTAGAGGAGGAGGAGGTGGAGAAGGGACAGGTAGAGGAGGAGGTGAAGGGACAGGTGGAGGTCCGGACACAGCCTCCCTCCAACCGTAGCTAAAGCCTTAAAGCCTCAATACCGGCCAGCACCTCACGTTCTCTCTTTAACCAAGACGATAACATGATTATATCTCAACATCCTTCCAAATGACGATTAGGATTAACGAATTTGTCTTGCCTTTACAACGCGTTGGAACACCAACACACGACGTAACCACATCGTTAACGTTTAACAACGTAATAGCGTTTACGACGTTGTGGAAAACGAAAAAGACGAGCAATTGCCCAATGAAAGCATCAGCGTCATATATCCATGAGAAAGTGTTTGGAGTAATGCACTGGAATCGAACTCTCGTCACGGGTCATTACCCACCAGACCACGACAAGATTAAAACTCAACACAACCTACGTGTTATAATGCTTCTTTGAAGACCAGTAGGCTGCAGGGTGTTGTGGTAATTATAGGCACTATACAACTATTACACTTCTAGGTAGAGCTTTCAAGTTTGGATCTACAGCTCAATGGTGTGGCCCCATTCTGGAATACGGATCCTCCCCCCCCCCCATATTTTATAGTAAGGATCCCCCCCATATTTTATAGTAAGGATCCCAATGTTGTAAAATATTGGTCGGCACATCAGGTGCAGGACACCGACACCACTGTAGGACCACCAGACCTGAACAAGGAAGACGACTTAGTGTTATATACACATCAAGAGGAAAAATGAGACGATGCCTATTTACTAGCACTGGACTGATTCCGTCCAGCCAGCCCAGAAATAAGCAGCGACCTAACACAGGCAGGCTGTTACAGAATGATAAGAGGGCTTGGTATGACGGTGAATCAGCGTTGATATGACGGTGAATCAACGTTGATATGACGGTGAATTAACATTACTGGAGCATCCTAATGGGCACGCTATCCAAGAGCAACGTCAATTCAACGAAGAATCAACGTTGATTCAGTGTCAAACCAACGCCACTCTCGGATAATGCGCACTGTGATGCTCGACTCACCCGAACACGACGCCCATCACCGGAATAATAATATTATAGACTTGTAGTCCCGCGAGGTGAAATATTTTCTCTGACTTGAGTGGTTAAAATATGAATTAGCTCATCCGAAGATGTTATTGAGAGTAATGATTTGTGTGTGTGTGTGTGTGTGTGTGTGTGTGTGTGTGTGTGTGTGTGTGTGTGGGGGGGGGGGGTGTAACGTCACAGGAGCTCATGACGGTGGGCCACTGGGTTCAGTGGCCCACCTGCTCCACTTTAGTCTGCTCCTGTAGCCACCATCACCTGGATGAACCTGGATGGTGGAATCTGCCCCTACACCTACTCACCCCCATCCTCTCTCTCTCTCTCCAGGCAGAGAGAGATGAGAGAGACAGACGTTAAAGGGACAGTATAGATTGTGGTTGAGTAGCAGGTAACGTCACTGGTGCGGGGAGGAGAGTGAAAAACACACACAAAGGACAGGGGATGGTAGGGACATGACAGGGAAGGATAGAGGTGGGCAGGGATTGGACAAAGGAGGTCAGTAATACGGCAAAGAAGGACAAAGAGAGCAGGGAAGGGCAGAGAGGGAAAAAAAGCTTGTGGTAATAGGTGGCTGGATATGATTGCTTGAAGCCGATAGTGATGGGAAGATAATAGCAGCAGGGCGGTAAAAAATGTGAGGTAAGGGACACCGGCGAAGATTAAGGGAAGATAACGTAAGGCTGGGGTAAGTAGGGAAATATTAAAGGCAGAGATAGGGAGGAGGAAATAAGGGAAGTTTACAGTGTTATATACACTGTCTCGTCTAACCCCAAACACATTCTGTATCCCACCCCTACACACACACACACACACACACACACACACACACACACACACACACACACACACACACACACACACACACACACACGTCTGCTCCGGGTGCTAGATCATAGGCCTGAAAAGGACTGTAGACCTTTTGTTGCTAAGATCTTCTAAGTCCGAGAAGTTCTGGCACTGAAGACGTCTGGGACTGAGGATCTCTGGAGCCGAGAACCCATGGAGGCTGAGGACCTCCGGGGCTTAGAACCTCACGAGCTAAGGATCTCTGGGGCTGAGAACCTCTGTGGACATAAGGGGCAAGGAGGAGTCAAGGAGGACTGAACTACAAGAGAGAGAAACCCAACAAGTGTGCTAAACAGCCGAAATTTTCATAAATACAAAATCCATCTCTAAAGAAAAGCAGAGAAAACTGACAACCAAATTTGAATCACATAACAAATAAAGGAATATTAGAAAGGCATAAAAACTGCTAAACATTGAAAGACCAAGAAATGGGAGGAAGAGAAAGACTAAGACATAAAACGACTTACAGAGAAGCAGGAGATAATGGCGGTGATCACATACAAGAATGCTGTCATGAAAGGAACGGAACTCAAGATCTAATTTTTAATAATTTGTTTGTGTTCAGCGACGAAGGGACCGCCAGGCTCGTCCGGGACCGTCAGGAGGGCAAAGAATGAACCCCACACACACAAAAAATGAAGATGACAGAGAGGAATGTAGGAATAAAGGACGGGCCCAGGAAGAAGCCCAGGGCTGCTCACTGGAGGCCGAAGGTTGCACAGCAGGACGCAGAGAACCACCAAGCAGAATACTGAGAACATGCCTCCCAAGATCATTGTTTAGTTACGCTAACATCTCTGAGTCGTGCTCTAGGCCTGAAGTGGTCGACACCTACCGGTGGTGGACAACACATTTGAGCAGCGCCCAAGGTGACAAGCCCAGGCACATGGCTTCGCTACACGCAATTACACGTAGTCCACGCTAACGACTCCGGCAACCAAATTATTTATAAAGCAAAAAAAAGGGCGAATAAATGAAAAGTAAACTAGTGACAAAAGAGAGAATAGAGGAGGATGGACAGGGCAAGACGAAGGCAAAAAATGGTGTGCCTTTGGGTAGCGTCCATAAGCATAAAGGGAAACACAGAAGACAATAGATGCGTCGAGGGAACGGATAGAGCGAGACGCGCTGAATAAACCCAAACGTGACCATAATAGAGAAGGAAGAAAAAAGGAAGAAAGGAAGAAAGGGAAGGAATACTGAAGAAAGTAAGGAGCGGCAGCCCATAGTACATAGATGGAAGAAAGGGAGAAGTAGTAGACAGAGATATGATGGATGAAGAAGGGCGTGTGGGGCAGAGAGGGACGGAGGAGGAAATCTAAGAGAGATCAACCAGTAATTAAGACGTCATGTGGGACAACATAACCAAGACACCAATATGAGGGTGGGCGTCCCGCACCCCAGTACCCACCCAGCCAGCGTCCACCAACCCTTTCAACACCCTTCCCCCTGGAACATTCCCCAGCGGACTAAAGCTCCCCGTTGGTCCCAGGACCTACACTAGACGACATCCCGTGGAGAGCCTCCTAGCGACTACTCATCCCAGGGTCCATATTGGCTAGGCCGTGTGGAGTTCAAAGATGTCATTAACGAACCCTAGGACACAGCGCATGGACGAAGGAAGCAAGACCCCCACACGCTCTCTCACATAAGGGACACCCACAGCAGGAGGAACACACACACGTATTACAGTCCTCGAGGAGCATCAACACAGACTACGATGGAAGATCAAATGCAAAGCCATTCAGTAAGATGATTATCAGGCATTGACTCCAGACCTGATATAGGTATTGACGAGTATATCCTGCTCGCGGGCAATGTATGCATCAGTAAACAAAAGTTGCAAAGGGTCCATAAGGCGTTGCAAGATTAGTCGCATACCAAATGCTGGTGCTACAAGAAGCTTGAGGCAATAACTTGGGTAGGGAAAGCTTAGGAAGCATGCGACCCCTGGAGACATGATAAGCATGGAGGCATGCGTGCATGACGCCTGGGTCAGGGAAGGCATGGAGGCGCCGCCGGGGTCACAGGGCCGCACGGTGCGACAACTTCCCAGCTGCAGAACAAATGCACGCAAGACATATGTGACTTTAAATTCAGCAGCGGAGGCTTGAGACTTCCACCAACCGGTTACGAGTCTAATGTGCTGCCATCTGCCTTGACTCCCTCTGCTGTGTTGCAGTCTACAGTACCCACTGTCATGCCATCTACCGTGCCTTTATCTGGCACGATATTATATTATATTATATATATAATCCCAAAACTCCCTCCCCGCCCCCCTCCACTACCTGCCCCACCATGTACGGAGGCCCAGGCGAGGCGCTGGGTCGCAGGGAAACACAGTCCGTGAGAGTTGCCGCAGATTACCACCAACTGAATGAGGAATCAGTTGTGTACACAGTAATGCACAACTGTTACGGCCCTCTCGGGACGCAATGGGGTCCTTACTCTGATGTTGTTAGAGGAAGTTGTATCCGACCCCAAGCCAGTAGTGGCTTTCAAGGGATGTGATCCGTGACGCAAGAAAATTAAAGGGGGGAAGGGAAAGAAAGTTAAGAACTTAAGACTATAATTGCCATTACCAAATAAATAATATATAAAAAGAGTGCACAGGGGGAGGGGTATTAACACTGTACAGGGGAAATACACAATGGTCTTCTGCTGAAGACAATGGATCCAGACTCTCGGTGCTGAGTCCTCAGTGCTCTTGATCCTCATGGTCTCTTGACGAATCCTTCGACCAAGCTGAGTCTACCCCAGACACAGGCCAGCCAAAACACAGTTCCACTGGGGGCACCGCCGTGGAGGCCGTCAACCACAAGTCCAGCCGGTCTGCTGGCAGGTTCCGGATCAGCAAGGCTGGTCAGGCCACTCCACGAACGATATAAGGGTAACGCCCTAGACAGGAGCCTCGTGTGATACCACAAATCACTCTCCTGTCCTCAATACCCCAGTGGATAATCGTCTCCAGCAGTCGGTCCCGGGTAATCCTTCTACTGCTACTCCTCTGGCAGGGTAACACCACAGTGTTCTTCCGGGGGACGATTTCACAGCTGCTGCAGCAAAGCACAAGGTATGGAGACGGCTGCCTTGGGTAGACTGACTCAACTTCCATCACAGCAGTCCCAGGTCGACTCTGTAAGCAGACACGTCATCAATAACTGGGACACACTAAGGCACCTCACTTACAGGCTCAGACACAAACGCCCACCTATCCACTCCATAGATGGCGCTGGTGTCTGAGCACCACCTCACCAGAGGTCAGCAGCGGCTGTGTTGAGCGCTGAACCAGACTGGAAACTGGCCCTCGAGGCCAGTACACGTCGTCCTCACCAGGTGTCGTCGTCCGTTTGGAGGGGGTTTCGGGAGCTGACCCACAGATGGCGCGGTCGTCACTGCTCCGGGCTCAGACGCTGGATCCGGGTTCGTAACAACAACAAATAGTCTAGTACAAAGTACGTAGTTTTCAAGGCAGATATAACGAAGCACACATGACTCGGGTATTATAGCACCTAACAACCAATGGCCACGATGCGGAGCACAGGAGCTGGAGCTCAACTATTTCCCTCTCAAATAAAAAAAAATTAGATAACACAGACAAGATATTGGGTGGTTGGTCTCTCTAGGAAGGTCGACCATTTTCTCTACCAGGGGCGACCATCCTCTCTAGGAGGCTATGAATCTTCTGGTGTCTACTGGACCCGTGTGACTAGCCACTCTTGTTTATACTATCACTGTCTTTCGTGTCTACAGAGCCGATTACGACCCGACCATAAACCGCCCGAGTGCGTGGTCACCCGAGTGCATGGTCACCCGAGTGCGTGGTCACCCGTGTGCGTGGTCACCCGTGTGCGTGGCCGCCCGTGTGCGTGGCCGCCAGCTGTGACACTGACGGCCCAGACCCCTTAAGCTCAGTTTACTGGTACACTTTATGAACACCAAGATGCTTGTGGCTTGCCTGGAATTTCCGAGGTTTTCCTGGAACATGTACAGCTTGCTTGGAGGACGTAGGCAGAAGATTTATTTGAGAGACTTAAGTCTATGTATTGCCTGGAGGACGTTGGCCTATGTTTTACCCGAATGACCTAGGCCTCTGTTATGCATGGTAAACCTCGGTTTATGTCTACAGTACACAGTCCTAAGTCTTGCATGGAGAGCCTAGGCCTAAATCTTGCCTGGAGGACATAGGCCTCTGTTATGCATGGTAAACCTCGGTTTATGTCTACAGTACACAGTCCTAAGTCTTGCATGGAGAGCCTAGGCCTAAATCTTGCCTGGAGGACATAGGCCTAAGTCTAGCCTGGAGCACCTAGGCCCATGCCTTCACCGGAGCACATGTGGGAATTTTACGTATTTTCAATTCTGATATATTAGTATGAATAGGGTTCAAGTTATACAAATTAACAAATAAACAAATCAGATAAATAATAAACAATAATAACAATGAAAATAAATAAAGCATTATCGATGCAAGTCAGTGCTGACAATTGTAAGTTTCACAACCTAGGCAATGAAAAAATTAAAAATAAATGCTCCGGCTATCAATTAAAAATATTGAAATTAGTGAACTCACTGTGTAAAGTATCTGGAAGTCTTGATTAATAGGGATATGAAGCAAAGAAAATATTATATTTATGTTCAAGTGCTAGCAAATTGGGCATTAATATTGTTACCTAGAAAAGTTAAAATTAAAGGCTCTCATCACAACATATAAACATCGAGAGTTTATATATATAAACTCTCTGGGTATATAAACACAGTTTATACTATCAATGTATAAACACATTGTATAAAAACATATTTATATACACTGGGTATATAAACACAGTTTATATACCCAGCTTCTCGGTATATAAACTGTGAGTTTACTTTAGTCCTGAGCTATGTTCAGGATTAAAGTACACTGATGGTTGAGCTGTAAGCTATTTTGGTCGCCTTAATTACCCTTTAGATAGAGGTATTAAAGCCTTAACCCAACATTACCTTGATCTTATGAGACTAAGCCTGTATAATGCACAACAGATTTGGGCACTAAGCAATAGAATGAATATAAATTCTTTGAGTATATACAAAGGAGGATGACTAAGCAATTCCCTGGCAATGGGACTTTCTTTTGAAGAGAAAATAAAAACTGTATTTACATTCTCAAGAATGGTGTAGAGTAAGTTGGAACATAACAGTGTTGTACAAAAGTGAGAGAGCTTAACAACAGGAATATAAGCTTTCAAAACTTGTTTGCATTGAAAAAATAAGTAAATACTGATTTGGAAATGTGGTTACAGGTAACATCATAGAAGTAAATTCGATAGAAAGCTTCAAGTATCAGTTATAGAAATACCTGAGTGGAAAGGATGGATATAAATAGGAGTAGTCTCACATAGGCCTATTGGCCTCCTGCAACATCCACTATTAGTTAACCCATCCTCCGAAACTGATAGAGCCTATAGGTACTGAGGATGGAATGTGAACTGTCGAGCCTATCAAACATTCACGATTGTGCTACATGAATTCCAAGGGTTTTAACAAAAAGTAAAACAGAGTTACCATAAACTTTACCTAACCAAGGCCTAAATTAGAACTGCTCTGGGGGTGGGGGAGGAAGGGATGGGGTGGGGGGGGGGGGAAGGGACGGGGATGGGAAGGGAGGGGGTGGGCGGCAGGCAGTAAGAACAGGGCGAGGGCCAACGCGCGGGTCGTGGCAGGCTTCCCAGACACGCCCTGGATCAGTACTGGTGGAGCGTTGAAGTCTCCCGCTCGGGTAATCTTTATCCCTTCTCTATCGGCACGCTCCTCTTTCTGTACGTCTGTCCTCCTATTCTTTATCTCCCTCTTCGTTACCACGCCCGCTTGCCCCCCTCTCTCTCTCCCCCCTTCTCCCTCCCCCCCTCTCTCTGCCTCTCTGTTTGTCTGTCTGTCTGTCTGTCTGTCTGTCTGTCTGTCTGTCTGTCTGTCTCTCTGTCTGTCTCTGTCTGTCTCTGTCTGTCTCTCTCTCCACATACGCACTTTTTCTGTGTGTGTGTGTGTGTGTGTGTGTGTGTGTGTGTGTGTGTGTGTGTGTGTGTGTGTGTGTGTGAGATAAAAGTTTATCTCGAGAACGGGCAGACAGAGGTGCTCATATGCGAAGTTTCAAACTTGGAAAGTAGTCATAGCTTCGTGAAGTTCTGGTATGTGTTGGTGTGGTGGTGAAGGGGGCTGACAAGTAAATAATTATCAAAGGAAGGCACCAAGCCAGGAAGACCATGTAACAAGGGGGGGGGGGGGGGGTGAGGTAATGCAACCATCACCAACATTGACAAATGTTGGTGATGGTGAGGGTTGTGGTGATGATAGTTGGGTGGTTATAGCGATGTAAGTAATTGTGGTGGTTGAGTTAGGGGTAATGGGAGGTGGCTGTGATGTTTACGTGCTAACCTTATGGGGGGTCTATGGGGGAAATAAGGTCTATGTCCCGCCTACAACCCTTGTTCTACCTAGTGCCTTTTTCTTTACTGACGTTCGAGTTCTTTGTTGTATTCAGTCTTCAAGTTGTGGATGGTGGCGGCTTCCACGATTTCTTCTTTCAATGCAGTTTACTTGTTGATCACTCGTACAGAGAGCGAGTATTTCCTTACATATCTTCAATTTATTTACCATTCCAGCTTCCACCTGTTGTGATGTAGGTGGAGGTGTTGGTGGAGGTGTTGGTGGAGGTGTTGGTGGAGGTGTTGGTGGAGGTGTTGGTGGAGGTGTTGGTGGAGGTGTTGGTGGAGGTGTTGGTGGAGGTGGAGGTGTTGGTGGAGGTGTTGGTGGAGGTGTTGGTGGTGCCCGAGGAGGGTGGTACAGTGGTCGTGTGACACCATGCGGAGAGCCAAACACCTCGGAGGTGTGGCCTAGGGGTTCACACACCGCAAACACTGATCTGGAAAACGGCGTTAACCACACTACCTCACACACTCCTCCTCTTATTAACTCCGTTAATATCTCATTGTTTCCATCAGAAGACGTAGCTTACCGTATGATAATATGGAATATCATATTTATAATATTAGCATTATTAGTGCTAATAATAGTATTAGC